CAATTCAAAAGAATTAGTTCAGGCAAAAATTAGGGAAAATAAAAATTGCAAAGAAAAGGACTGCAAAGAAAAGTCCTCAGCAAATTGGTGACTACAAACACGAAAACATGAGGGTGGTTTCTACTCCGAAAGCCTCGTCGTTTCCTTGACTGTCACAAAATCCTTTTGAGAGATGAACACTCATGTTGAATTAACTGAACATAGGGTTGGAGAACATCATGAAGAATGGGTGGGCACCAAGTATTTTGAGCCTTAAAATCTTTTTTCTAAAAACCATGAACCAGACCACGTTACAACCTTCAAAAGTCCTAATTGAAGCAAGGTTATTTTGAAAGCATACTTCAATGAGATAAGTGTTCCTGACTCCCATGAATGTTCTAAATAGTTATGTTGGTATCATATGTTTTTCCTATACAAAAATAAATGGTGCTTTAACTTGCAAAATTTGTGCGATATCTTTCAAAATCTTCAAGACTTACATAACTGTTGCATTAGAATTTTCATTCTCATTGTAAACTTTTTCTAACTGCAAAACATTTGTTTGATATCAAGGAAGCTCATATAAGCACCAGTGATGAGTTTATTCTTTTAAGGCTTGAAACTATGTTGAGTAATTGGCGAATCATTTCAAGAAAAAAATAATATCCAGGGGCATGTCACCTGAAGACCGTAAGCACAGACATGTTGCTTCTCCCAGTTAATGCTTTTCCCAACTTGTTTACCCTTTTGGGGCAAAATTTGAAGACTTTGTTGTGCCAATTACAGTCAATTCGGGGCAATCACGTCGAGATTTATTGAATCTCTCTAAGAGTTTAAAGACACCAGAGCATGGTGAATGCCAGGTCTTTTGTAAAATCCTCTTGAGATTATTTCTCCTCACCAACCATATAGCTTGGGGCATTTTAGAAGTGAAGTTATTCGCAAGAATTGTCGTGCAACATGCAGCTTATCAGCAGTAAACTTAGGGCATCCAAAATTAGTCCCAGGGGTAATCCAAATTTGTCAAGATATGTGATATGTTTTGCACACATTATCAGAGGGTGGTGTTCCCAGTATCTCAAGCTAAGCAAGACTTCTTTCCAGCTGAAACTTTGTTTGTGTTGTTATCCTTTCAATGGATTGTTTGCAATAGAAGACTGGACTTTGGGTTTTCTACCTGAAAATATCTTCCTCTCCAGAGATATTTAAGCCTTGTAAAAGGACCTTGTTCCAATGATGGCCTGTGTTTTATCTCCAGTAATGTTCCCATCCTGTTGAGATTAGTCGAGTGTTGGGTTGTGCTATGATGTCTTATCATCTCCAGTTTATCTTGTCTATTTGTTTTGTCAGCATATACATGGAATTCATTTATTCATTCACACTTGCATCATGCACGCACAATTGTATTTGTTGATGTCATTGAAGTTCGTATACCTTGGTTATGTCTATTCAAATAGCGTATTTGATCTTTCCAAATAGAGTGTCGACTTAAGCATAAAGTGTGCCTTCTTTCTAATTCCCCACTGAGTTAACTCTCGTGGAAGAATCTTGCTTTAGCTTTCCTTTTCCATCTCTGGATAGGATAAATCCCCATTTGAGTTATTTCCTCATTGGGTGGAGTCTTGTTTGACTATTTTCTCTCCAGTTTATTCCTGGATTGAGCTGTGTCTCTTGTGAACGATACCCTGTGAATATCTCTAGGCTGTGAAACCTAGATGAAGAGTGCATTTATTTTGCAATGTAAATACTTGGTCTCCTCAAGAAGGATTTATTCATGGTGCCCCATTGAAGATGAACTTTATTCCCCAGCAGTGTTATCACAACCTTCTTCTGGAATATCGACATGACAACAAGCGACTGACTCTTTATTTGAGCAGTTTGATTATTTCTGATTTCTCTACGACAAATGGCGGTCTCTTCATGAGCAGTTTGTCCATCCTCGATGAAATTATTGATTCTCACCTCCAGCAATATCTTCACGATATTTTATGGGTATCTTTTTGGGAAACAGCAAGAGGCAGTCTCTTCATGAGGCAACTTGTGTGTTATGGATACTCTTGACCAACAGCAAGCGGCGGTCTCTTCATGAGCAACTTGTGTGTTATGGATACTCTTGAGAAACAGCAAGCGGCAGTCTCTTCATGAGCAACTTGTGTGTTATTTTTTCTCTTGAAAAACATCAAGCGGCGGTCTCTTCATGAGCAACTTGTATGTTATTGATACCTTGAAAGAAACAGCAAGCGACAGTCTCTTCATGAGCAACTTGTTTGTTATTGTCACCTTTGAAAACAACAAGCGGCGGTCTCTTCATGAGCAACTTGTGTGTTATTGGTAATTTTGAAAAGTAAACAGCAAGCGGCAGTCTCTTCATGGACAACTTGTATGTTATCAACACTTTTTGAAAACGGCAAGTGGCGGTCTCTTCATGAGCAGCTTGTACGGAAAACGGCAAGTGGCAGCTTCTTCATGAGCAGCTTGTACGTTAGTATTTTTGGAAGACAGCAAGTGGCAGCTTATCTATTTGAGCAACTTGTGTGTTATTGTTCCCTTGAAGACAACAAGTGGCAGCTTCTTCATGAGAAGCTTGTGGGTTATTGGCAACAAGTGGCGGACTCTTCATGAGTAGCTTGTGTGCTTTGATATTCTTTGAAGACAACAAGTGGCAGCTTCTTCATGAGCAGCTTGTGGGTTATTAGCGACAAGTGGCAGACTCTTCATGAGCATCTTGTGTGCTTTGATATTCTTTGAAGACAGCAAGTGGCGGTCTCTTCATGAGCAGCTTGTATGTTATTGACACCTTTGAAAGGAAACAAGTGGCGGCCTCTTTATTTGAGCAGCTTGTGTATCCCCAACAATAATGTCTACTCAGCAAATGGCATCCCTTTCGGAAAAGTCCCGTGGGGAAGTTTGTTATTTTATCCTTTTCAAGCGATATCTTGGTTAGAGAAGAAATGTGTTACCGTTCTTGGTAAAATTCAGAAATCAAAGATGTTTACCTCCAGCCACAGTGTTGATGTCAATCATTTTGTTTTCCAGTCACAGTGCTGATGTCAATCATTTTGTTTTCCAGTCTCAGTACTGATGTCCATCATTTCCTTTTCCAGTCACAGTGCTGATGTAAATCATTTCTTTTTCCAGTCTTCGTACTGATGTAAATCATTTCTTTTTCAGTCTCAATACTGATGTAAATCATTCAAGAGTCTCTCATTTGAAGTCTATGACTTTGTTTCCCCAGTGGTGTTATAATTTGTTCCCCTGTGGGATTATTGTATAATGTGCTTGGTTTCTCCAGCATAGTCTGTCTCATATGGCGTCAATCCCCATAAAATTCAGAGCATTACATTCATATCATATCATGAACATAATCGCGGTATCTTAAGGCCAAAAATTGTGTATTCTATATTTAAGTCCCTTCAATCTCGTCGAAATGAAGATCCCAATCTTCATATCTCCAGATAGAAGAAACTTAAATAGGGGCAGCTGTTGTACCCCAATTTTTGACCTAAGATCCCATTTTTATTTTTGCATTTTTTAAGATAAGTCAAGGTCACGAAATACGGTCGATTTTAACGTCTCACCTTCGAGCTTTGACCATGCGAAGATTGTCAAGTGTTTTGAACATTTTTAGCCTATGTATCACTAATTTCTAATCGCATACAAAGGTATATGTTCATGTTTTCTTTTGTGTCATGTGCAGAGACGGGTCTGGATCAAGAGCATCAGGTGTCGCGCCTCAATTAAGGTTTTGAGTCTCCCAAGCCAGAAGTACGGTTGATTGTGGATTCTCGAATGCTGATTCATCAAGGCACACCGTTGCACCCTTAATTTCGCCCCTAATATGTTTTAGTCGCACATTCGTACCATATTTTGTCATTTGGTCACAATTATTAGTAAATATCTTCATTCATCATATTTTGCATCATTAGTCGTATTTAAGTTTAATAATAAAAATATTTTGGTTTTATAGACAAACTGTTAAAAGCGATTCGACACTATGCGGGAAAGTAGCGAGAAAATATTTCAAGTTTTCACCTTTTACCGATCATTTTATAAATCTGCGCTTCGCGTAGATTATGACGGTATGCTCGCTTTATTTTTCGGTACAGTTCGAAGTCTCGTTTTAACCTTAAACGTCTGTTTAGTCTGATATTTTTTTTATTATTATTTTTATTTTTGATTTTTGACTTCTTGAATATTTTTTCTTTAATCTTTGTGACATGTAGATTATTTTAATGTGTTCATTTTATTTTTCGGATAAATTTTCGTCCGTTTTTTTTATCATTTTCGGTCATTTTGGGTCTTTATTTTTTATTCAGAAAAATTCAAAAAAATATATTTTAAATTGCATTAATTTGTACACTTTCAGGTTTTTAAGTCATTTTTATTTTTAGAGGGATTTTTAATCATTAATTTTTTGTTAAACTATTCTTTTTTCTAATTGGTTGATAGAAGTTGTGCAGGATTAATGAAAATAATGGACGGATATGATTGCAAGCTGAAATCATTTTTCCTCTTCATCTGACTATTTAAATAGTCTTCCTTTTCTTTGTGAAAAAAAACAAAAAAAAATATACAACAACACAACCATCCAATTGCCAACAACTCCATCTGCGTCAGTTCTTCCTCTTCTACTCACGAAACCTCACCATAACACCCTCCCCCAATATCCCTTCATACTGTCACACAAACAACATTTCCCTTCAATTCATTTCAATTTCCATCAACGTCAGCTAGCTACCCTTCAATCTACTCCGCGAATTCAACCTCCCCTCTCCATCTTCACCGATCCACGAAATCATCCTCTGAAGCTGATCTAGTAGCTTTTGCATTTCGAATTTGTGGTCAATTCAGATCTAGAAAGCTACGACGATGTCGTTTATTGGCACTCAGCTCAAGTGTAAGGCTTGTGAAAAACGGTTTATCCTGTTGATCAACTTTCGGCTGATGGTACTTCTTACCATAAAGCTTGCTTCAGATGCACTCACTGCAAAGGAACTTTAAAGCTGAGCAACTATTCTTCAATGGAAGGTGTTCTTTACTGTAAGCCTCATTTTGAGCAGCTCTTCAAAGAGCACGGCAACTTCAGCAAGAATTTTCAGTCACCTTCCGCCACCGTCTTCGCTCCCTCCGACTCCGCTTTCAAGAAATCCGGTCAGCCGTCACTCGACCTACTGCGGTACCACTTAGTTATGCTGCCGCTGCCAATTCAGAGCTTCCGGCGACTTCCTGCTGGTGCGAAGCTTCCGACTATGCTCCCCGGTCAGTCTCTCACTGTCACTACATCAACCTCCGATAATGCTATCTCGCTTAACAATATCAAAATCAATGAATTACCGATCTACGATGACGGAGTTCTTTTGGTTTATGGTATCGTTAGGTTCTTCGATCCTAGTTTCCAGTATCAGAGACCTAATTCAAATTCGAATCTGAATCCATCGTGTTCAGCGGTTAATCGCACTGTGAACTCCTCCGATTCGTTCGATCAAGCGATTCAGATGCTGAAAACTAGCGGATACTCAGTTATGGCGTCTTTTCTCGGAATGTAGCTCTCCGGTGATATAAGCCAGAATGGAATCACGGTGTTTGCTCCGGCGGATGAGAATGTGATAAACCGTTTAGGTGTTTTCGATGACTATCCTTCATTTTTTCCATCGCCACGTGGTGCCTTGCAAGTTTCTGTGGAACGAGCTGGTTGATTTTGTTGACGGTACTGAATTGCCAATCAACCTCAAGTGAGTATTGGTGGAAACTACCCCATGATCTACTACACCCTGGTGTTAGTAGATCCTGATGCACCAAGCCCAAGTAACCCCAGTTTTAGGGAGTACCTTCGTTGGATGGTGATTGATATTCTAGCAACTACCGGGATTAGTTTTGGTATGTACATTATTTCTATTTCATTCCCTGGGTCAAATAGTTGTAGTATATATGAATTAAATGTTGATTAAAATTATTTTAAGTATATAATGGATAATCATCATTTGTTTGGTTCATGCTTTGAATTTAATTTCTCATTTTTGCAAAGTGAACTTTTGATTTTTTTTGTTTTCCGTTGTGTTTGAAATAGCGGTTGTTTTTGATACATTTGAAATAATGTGTACAATGTTGATTTTTTGTGTTTACATGGAATAATGTCATGAATTCTTGATTTTTATTTGTGTAAATATTCATGTGCATTCATACAATTTCATTTCATTTCTTTATTTTGTGATTTCTAACAAAGTTTTTAATTGTTGCGATTTCATTCATTTTAATTTTTATACCGCTTATGCTACTAACGAGTTTGCTTACTGTGAAGGTTTTCAAAAATCGTTTCAAGTATCCATTCTCACATAGCGCATCAATAACTCTTACACTTCTCCCTTTTACCTTTTTATTTTATTTTACTATTCTGATTTAATATTTGGTACTGTAAATATATACTTGTATATAATATTTTGACTGTATATTTTACTTGTAAATAAATTCAGGTTTCTTAAAAATATTATTTTCATCGCATTGTGATTTTATTTTAATTCCAACTAATTCTGAAAATTGTGCGGACGCACATAAGTTTTCCGTGCTGTTGGATTTTGTCGGTATATCTCTTGTGATGCAGGGATTCTTATCTGACACCATGAGCTTTATCCGATGTCTTTGCGCTTCATCTGATGCTTGGAGTATTATCTCACATTAGGTTTTTTTGATGATGCTGTCGGCTTGTGATTTATTTTCACCTAAGGTTTGATATACTCTTAGCTTATTTATTTGTCTGTGGTTTTAACTCCAAGGGAAACATTCTAACTTTGTTGACTTCATGTCATCAAACACATGTTATACGATTAAGCGAATAGCCTCATTCATTTTTGCTTGTTTACTATTTTTCCAAACTTAAGATAATTTTCCCAAAAGACTCCATTTTCAAACTCATACCTTTTAAGTCAAAACTTCGACACTAGGTTGTCGTATCTTCAAAAATCTCGTCCATACCAATCTTTTAGCCAAACGAATCATTTTAATCAAACAAACAATTTTAACCAAAAAACAAATATTTCAAAAGGTTCCTGCGGAGTACCGCAGATGCATTGGGTGCTAATACCTTCCCATTGTATAACCAACCCCCAAACTCTCGATCTCTTTCAAAAACGCATTGTATTTTTATTACTTTTAAGTATTATTTTACATTGCATATTTTAGGGTTTTATTTCGCTCTTTTCCCTTTTCCCTTGGAAATAATAAAGCGCGGTGGCGACTCTTGCTTTTTTGAGTCAAGTTAATTAATAGCTTGATCTCCGATTTTCACCGCTACAGAATTGGCGACTGTGCTGGGGAAAGATTGACCTCTTGCTGGTCCATCCTTAAGTGGGTTAAGCCTAATTTGTTTTATCTGTTTTATCATTATTTGATTGTTTGATTATATGTATATATTGTGATTATTTGGGTGTTGATAATATTTACAAAGGACAAGTCCTATACCCGGACTAAGTTACACTTAGGAATAGGACGGGCGGTATAGTCATGTTAACTTTGAGGGAGTAATCCCGAAGAAGGAGGCATGAGATCCCCCACTCAGTGGAAGGCCCTTTTGAACGTAATACCTGTTTACCGAGTAATCGGGAAGACATTATTATTTTCGACCTGGGAGCCAGAGAAGCTGGGAACCGTAGAACCCTAACCCATCTTGGCCTTTTAGGTGTAGCGCAGAGATTATAACAGAGTAATCCGGAAGTAATTGTTACGCGATGCTACGCTCGGATGAGTTTCTCTTGAGAATATTGCTAATTATTGAGTAATCAAGACGTTGGTAATATCCGAAGGAGGAATGTAGACTCCGGGAACTCTTAGAACCTTGTTCTACAGGTGTGATTAAACCGTTAGTACATACCTTGGGGGTGTTTCTTACCTTGACTCCATGCTCGTGACGTTGAACCTTTCGACTTTATTTGTGACCTTGCTTGTGGTTATTGCATAGCCATGCATTCATGCATCCATAAAACCCTTTTCACTTGACTTTCAAGGATTTTGGAGGTCTTTCTTTGTAAACATCACAAGTTTCGTCAAGCTCAATGGATCTTGGGTGTTGATAGGGTGAAAACCCTAATCCACCAAAATGGATGATTGATCTTGATGATAACTTGATCAACGCTTTGATCCAGTTCAAAATTCATCTTCTATCTTCATACTTTGATGTTTCCAACTTAATATCTTGAGTTCCTTGAAAGTCAGATAAAAACTCTCTTTTGCATATCATGCATCATTCTACATTTTTTTTGTTTCACTTTCAAAGGTCTTTTTCCGAGTCTTATTTTTCCTTTGGTCTCACAAGTACAACACTCGCGCTAAGAGAACAATGGAGAATATCAAGCAAGAGGTTTCTGAACTCCGTAGAGAGATGACTATTTTGAAAGCTAGTATGGAGCACTTAACTGGTTTGGTTGAAATTCTGGTTGCCGCCCAAGTCAATCCTTCTAGGATGGAGGAAGCGATGATAAAAGTCTTCACTGAAACTCTAAAATCATTCTCTCATGAGAAGGTGATGGTTAATGCACCTAATGACTTTCCTGACAAGGTGAATGTGGGAGTGCGTCTAGAAGAAGATGTCGGAAAGGGATGTTCATATGAAGATGGTAGCTCAACTAATGGTGTGAAGAAGTTTGATAATAACTTTTCCAAGAAGAGAACCAGAGGAAGAAATAATCATTGTCAGAATCATCATGTTTCTCCTATTCATCAACAGAATCAGCAAGTTCCTAATCAGAGGAAAACCCAGTTTGATCCAATTCCAATTACCTATACAGAGTTGTTCCCTATCCTGATGCAGAGAAAGTTGGTTCAGACCCGACCTCCACCAAAGGTTCCCGAGAAGATACATTGGTACTAAAAAGTTGATTTGACTTATACCTTTCATCAAGGTGCTCCTGGGCATGACTTGGAGGGTTGCTTTGCTTTGAATATGGAGGTTCGGAAGTTGGTCAGAAGTGGTATCTTGTCATTTAAGGGCGTTGGTTTTGAAGTTCAAATCAAGCATGCGCCGAAGAGTAAAAACGATTGATGGTGACTTTGATTTTTTTGAAGGATGTTTTCAGTAATTCAAGTCCAGATGGAAAGCCTTCCCAGATTATTCACTTATTTATGCTTTTTGTAATTTTTCTTGTTTATCAAAACATTGTTTGCATGTAAGAACTTGTTTGCATCTGAATGATTATCTTAATACAATGAGTATGTTTGTCTTGAAGAAATTCATTCGTTTCACTCATGTTTGTTTTCAAATTTTAAATTGCTCTTGCACTATGATACCAAATTGTTGCTCATTCTCTTGCCTAGGCAGAGATTGAAGGGAGGATGATGATCTAAAGAACACGAAATCTCGGTTTGTTTTCTTTTGGATAAAATCTTGCTGATGATGTACATGCATTGTTTCAAATCCCTAAACACCGGAGATATAAGGAAGATAATCCCTTGCTAACCCCTTTTGAGCCTTTGAAGTAGAAGTTTCTTTTCTATACGAAAAAACCTTGAATTTTAACCTGGGGCAGGGTAGTTTTTAGTTAATCTGACTGAGTGTTCAAAATTCATAAGGAAGATGTTTTTTGAAGAGAAACTACGAGGGCTATCCTTCATGTATAATAAATCTAGAGGATGTGGAACCACAATGTTATCCCTCATTCATCAAGAAACGAGGCAATCACAATCCTCTCAACAAGCAAATGCAAGCTAATGTCACACATTTTGTTCAAAAAGTCAAAAATCGAGAAAAAGAAAAAGCCTGCTAAGTCAAAAACATGAAAACTTACGACTTAGGCAAAAACTAAGGCATCCCGCTGGACTATCAATTCAAAAGAATTAGTTCAGGCAAAAATTAGGGAAAATAAAAATTGCAAAGAAAAGGACTGCAAAGAAAAGTCCTCAGCAAATTGGTGACTACAAACACGAAAACATGAGGGTGGTTTCTACTCCGAAAGCCTCGTCGTTTCCTTGACTGTCACAAAATCCTTTTGAGAGATGAACACTCATGTTGAATTAACTGAACATAGGGTTGGAGAACATCATGAAGAATGGGTGGGCACCAAGTATTTTGAGCCTTAAAATCTTTTTTCTAAAAACCATGAACCAGACCACGTTACAACCTTCAAAAGTCCTAATTGAAGCAAGGTTATTTTGAAAGCATACTTCAATGAGATAAGTGTTCCTGACTCCCATGAATGTTCTAAATAGTTATGTTGGTATCATATGTTTTTCCTATACAAAAATAAATGGTGCTTTAACTTGCAAAATTTGTGCGATATCTTTCAAAATCTTCAAGACTTACATAACTGTTGCATTAGAATTTTCATTCTCATTGTAAACTTTTTCTAACTGCAAAACATTTGTTTGATATCAAGGAAGCTCATATAAGCACCAGTGATGAGTTTATTCTTTTAAGGCTTGAAACTATGTTGAGTAATTGGCGAATCATTTCAAGAAAAAAATAATATCCAGGGGCATGTCACCTGAAGACCGTAAGCACAGACATGTTGCTTCTCCCAGTTAATGCTTTTCCCAACTTGTTTACCCTTTTGGGGCAAAATTTGAAGACTTTGTTGTGCCAATTACAGTCAATTCGGGGCAATCACGTCGAGATTTATTGAATCTCTCTAAGAGTTTAAAGACACCAGAGCATGGTGAATGCCAGGTCTTTTGTAAAATCCTCTTGAGATTATTTCTCCTCACCAACCATATAGCTTGGGGCATTTTAGAAGTGAAGTTATTCGCAAGAATTGTCGTGCAACATGCAGCTTATCAGCAGTAAACTTAGGGCATCCAAAATTAGTCCCAGGGGTAATCCAAATTTGTCAAGATATGTGATATGTTTTGCACACATTATCAGAGGGTGGTGTTCCCAGTATCTCAAGCTAAGCAAGACTTCTTTCCAGCTGAAACTTTGTTTGTGTTGTTATCCTTTCAATGGATTGTTTGCAATAGAAGACTGGACTTTGGGTTTTCTACCTGAAAATATCTTCCTCTCCAGAGATATTTAAGCCTTGTAAAAGGACCTTGTTCCAATGATGGCCTGTGTTTTATCTCCAGTAATGTTCCCATCCTGTTGAGATTAGTCGAGTGTTGGGTTGTGCTATGATGTCTTATCATCTCCAGTTTATCTTGTCTATTTGTTTTGTCAGCATATACATGGAATTCATTTATTCATTCACACTTGCATCATGCACGCACAATTGTATTTGTTGATGTCATTGAAGTTCGTATACCTTGGTTATGTCTATTCAAATAGCGTATTTGATCTTTCCAAATAGAGTGTCGACTTAAGCATAAAGTGTGCCTTCTTTCTAATTCCCCACTGAGTTAACTCTCGTGGAAGAATCTTGCTTTAGCTTTCCTTTTCCATCTCTGGATAGGATAAATCCCCATTTGAGTTATTTCCTCATTGGGTGGAGTCTTGTTTGACTATTTTCTCTCCAGTTTATTCCTGGATTGAGCTGTGTCTCTTGTGAACGATACCCTGTGAATATCTCTAGGCTGTGAAACCTAGATGAAGAGTGCATTTATTTTGCAATGTAAATACTTGGTCTCCTCAAGAAGGATTTATTCATGGTGCCCCATTGAAGATGAACTTTATTCCCCAGCAGTGTTATCACAACCTTCTTCTGGAATATCGACATGACAACAAGCGACTGACTCTTTATTTGAGCAGTTTGATTATTTCTGATTTCTCTACGACAAATGGCGGTCTCTTCATGAGCAGTTTGTCCATCCTCGATGAAATTATTGATTCTCACCTCCAGCAATATCTTCACGATATTTTATGGGTATCTTTTTGGGAAACAGCAAGAGGCAGTCTCTTCATGAGGCAACTTGTGTGTTATGGATACTCTTGACCAACAGCAAGCGGCGGTCTCTTCATGAGCAACTTGTGTGTTATGGATACTCTTGAGAAACAGCAAGCGGCAGTCTCTTCATGAGCAACTTGTGTGTTATTTTTTCTCTTGAAAAACATCAAGCGGTGGTCTCTTCATGAGCAACTTGTATGTTATTGATACCTTGAAAGAAACAGCAAGCGACAGTCTCTTCATGAGCAACTTGTTTGTTATTGTCACCTTTGAAAACAACAAGCGGCGGTCTCTTCATGAGTAACTTGTGTGTTATTGGTAATTTTGAAAAGTAAACAGCAAGCGGCAGTCTCTTCATGGACAACTTGTATGTTATCAACACTTTTTGAAAACGGCAAGTGGCGGTCTCTTCATGAGCAGCTTGTACGGAAAACGGCAAGTGGCAGCTTCTTCATGAGCAGCTTGTACGTTAGTATTTTTGGAAGACAGCAAGTGGCAGCTTATCTATTTGAGCAACTTGTGTGTTATTGTTCCCTTGAAGACAACAAGTGGCAGCTTCTTCATGAGCAGCTTGTGGGTTATTGGCAACAAGTGGCGGACTCTTCATGAGTAGCTTGTGTGCTTTGATATTCTTTGAAGACAACAAGTGGCAGCTTCTTCATGAGCAGCTTGTGGGTTATTAGCGACAAGTGGCAGACTCTTCATGAGCATCTTGTGTGCTTTGATATTCTTTGAAGACAGCAAGTGGCGGTCTCTTCATGAGCAGCTTGTATGTTATTGACACCTTTGAAAGGAAACAAGTGGCGGCCTCTTTATTTGAGCAGCTTGTGTATCCCCAACAATAATGTCTACTCAGCAAATGGCATCCCTTTCGGAAAAGTCCCGTGGGGAAGTTTGTTATTTTATCCTTTTCAAGCGATATCTTGGTTAGAGAAGAAATGTGTTACCGTTCTTGGTAAAATTCAGAAATCAAAGATGTTTACCTCCAGCCACAGTGCTGATGTCAATCATTTTGTTTTCCAGTCACAGTGCTGATGTCAATCATTTTGTTTTCCAGTCTCAGTACTGATGTCCATCATTTCCTTTTCCAGTCACAGTGCTGATGTAAATCATTTCTTTTTCCAGTCTTCGTACTGATGTAAATCATTTCTTTTTCAGTCTCAATACTGATGTAAATCATTCAAGAGTCTCTCATTTGAAGTCTATGACTTTGTTTCCCCAGTGGTGTTATAATTTGTTCCCCTGTGGGATTATTGTATAATGTGCTTGGTTTCTCCAGCATAGTCTGTCTCATATGGCGTCATTCCCCATAAAATTCAGAGCATTACATTCATATCATATCATGAACATAATCGCGGTATCTTAAGGCCAAAAATTGTGTATTCTATATTTAAGTCCCTTCAATCTCGTCGAAATGAAGATCCCAATCTTCATATCTCCAGATAGAAGAAACTTAAATAGGGGCAGCTGTTGTACCCCAATTTTTGACCTAAGATCCCATTTTTATTTTTGCATTTTTTAAGATAAGTCAAGGTCACGAAATACGGTCGATTTTAACGTCTCACCTTCGAGCTTTGACCATGCGAAGATTGTCAAGTGTTTTGAACATTTTTAGCCTATGTATCACTAATTTCTAATCGCATACAAAGGTATATGTTCATGTTTTCTTTTGTGTCATGTGCAGAGACGGGTCTGGATCAAGAGCATCAGGTGTCGCGCCTCAATTAAGGTTTTGAGTCTCCCAAGCCAGAAGTACGGTTGATTGTGGATTCTCGAATGCTGATTCATCAAGGCACACCGTTGCACCCTTAATTTCGCCCCTAATATGTTTTAGTCGCACATTCGTACCATATTTTGTCATTTGGTCACAATTATTAGTAAATATCTTCATTCATCATATTTTGCATCATTAGTCGTATTTAAGTTTAATAATAAAAATATTTTGGTTTTATAGACAAACTGTTAAAAGCGATTCGACACTATGCGGGAAAGTAGCGAGAAAATATTTCAAGTTTTCACCTTTTACCGATCATTTTATGAATCTGCGCTTCGCGTAGATTATGACGGTATGCTCGCTTTATTTTTCGGTACAGTTCGAAGTCTCGTTTTAACCTTAAACGTCTGTTTAGTCTGATATTTTTATTATTATTATTTTTATTTTTGATTTTTGACTTCTTGAATATTTTTCTTTAATCTTTGTGACATGTAGATTATTTTAATGTGTTCATTTTATTTTTCGGATAAATTTTCGTCCGTTTTTTTTATCATTTTCGGTCATTTTGGGTCTTTATTTTTTATTCAGAAAAATTCAAAAAAATATATTTTAAATTGCATTAATTTGTACACTTTCAGGTTTTTAAGTCATTTTTATTTTTAGAGGGATTTTTAATCATTAATTTTTTGTTAAACTATTCTTTTTTCTAATTGGTTGATAGAAGTTATGCAGGATTAATGAAAATAATGGACGGATATGATTGCAAGCTGAAATCATTTTTCCTCTTCATCTGACTATTTAAATAGTCTTCCTTTTCTTTGTGAAAAAAAACAAAAAAAAATATACAACAACACAACCATCCAATTGCCAACAACTCCATCTGCGTCAGTTCTTCCTCTTCTACTCACGAAACCTTACCATAACACCCTCCCCCAATATCCCTTCATACTGTCACACAAACAACATTTCCCTTCAATTCATTTCAATTTCCATCAACGTCAGCTAGCTACCCTTCAATCTACTCTGCGAATTCAACCTCCCCTCTCCATCTTCACCGATCCACGAAATCATCCTCTGAAGCTGATCTAGTAGCTTTTGCATTTCGAATTTGTGGTCAATTCAGATCTAGGAAGCTACAGCGATGTCGTTTATTGGCACTCAGCTCAAGTGTAAGGCTTGTGAAAAACGGTTTATCCTGTTGATCAACTTTCGGCTGATGGTACTTCTTACCATAAAGCTTGCGTCAGATGCACTCACTGCAAAGGAACTTTAAAGCTGAGCAACTATTCTTCAATGGAAGGTGTTCTTTACTTTAAGCCTCATTTTGAGCAGCTCTTCAAAGAGCACGGCAACTTCAGCAAGAATTTTCAGTCACCTTCCGCCACCGTCTTCGCTCCCTCCGACTCCTCTTTCAAGAAATCCGGTCAGCCGTCACTCGACCTACTGCGGTACCACTTAGTTATGCTGCCGCTGCCGATTCAGAGCTTCCGGCGACTTCCTGCTGGTGCGAAGCTTCCGACTATGCTCCCCGGTCAGTCTCTCACCGTCACTACATCAACCTCCGATAATGCTATCTCGCTTAACAATATCAAAATCAATGAATTACCGATCTACGATGATGGAGTTCTTTTGGTTTATGGTATCGATAGGTTCTTCGATCCTAGTTTCCAGTATCAGAGACCTAATTCAAATTCGAATCTGAATCCATCGTGTTCAGCGGTTAATCGCACTGTGAACTCCTCCGATTCGTTCGATCAAGAGATTCAGATGCTGAAAACTAGCGGATACTCAGTTATGGCGTCTTTTCTCGGAATGCAGCTCTCCGGTGATATAAGCCAGAATGGAATCACGGTGTTTGCTCTGGCGGATGAGAATGTGATAAACCGTTTAGGTGTTTTCGATGACTATCCTTCAGTTTTCCGTCGCCACGTGGTGCCTTGCAAGTTTCTGTGGAACAAGCTGGTTGATTTTGTTGACGGTACTGAATTGCCAATCAACCTTAAGTGAGTATTGGTGGAAACTACCCCATGATCTACTACACCCTGGTGTTAGTAGATCCTGATGCACCAAGCCCAAGTAACCCCAGTTTTAGGGAGTACCTTCGTTGGATGGTGATTGATATTCTAGCAACTACCGGGATTAGTTTTGGTATGTACATTATTTCTATTTCATTCCCTGGGTCAAATAGTTGTAGTATATATGAATTAAATGTTGATTAAAATTATTTTAAGTATATAATGGATAATCATCATTTGTTTGGTTCATGCTTTGAATTTAATTTCTCATTTTTGCAAAGTGAACTTTTGATTTTTTTTTGTTTTCCGTTGTGTTTGAAATAGCGGTTGTTTTTGATACATTTGAAATAATGTGTACAATGTTGATTTTTTGTGTTTACATGGAATAATGTCATGAATTCTTGATTTTTATTTGTGTAAATATTCATGTGCATTCATACAATTTCATTTCATTTCTTTATTTTGTGATTTCTAACAAAGTTTTTAATTGTTGCGATTTCATTCATTTTAATTTTTATACCGCTTATGCTACTAACGAGTTTGCTTACTGTGAAGGTTTTCAAAAACCGTTTCAAGTATCCATTCTCACATAGCGCATCAATAACTCTTACACTTCTCCCTTTTACCTTTTTATTTTATTTTACTATTCTGATTTAATATTTGGTACTGTAAATATATACTTGTATATAATATTTTGACTGTATATTTTACTTGTAAATAAATTCAGGTTTCTTAAAAATATTATTTTCATCGCATTGTGATTTTATTTTAATTCCAACTAACTTCTGAAAATTGTGCGGACGCACATAAGTTTTCCGTGCTGTTGGATTTTGTCGGTATATCTCTTGTGATGCAGGGATTCTTATCTGACACCATGAGCTTTATCCGATGTCTTTGCGCTTCATCTGATGCTTGGAGTATTATCTCACATTAGGTTTTTTTGATGATGCTGTCGGCTTGTGATTTATTTTCACCTAAGGTTTGATATACTCTTAGCTTATTTATTCGTCTGTGGTTTTAACTCCAAGGGAAACGTTCTAACTTTGTTGACTTCATGTCATCAAACACATGTTATACGATTAAGCGAATAGCCTCATTCATTTTTGCTTGTTTACTATTTTTCCAAACTTAAGATAATTTTCCCAAAAGACTCCATTTTCAAACTCATACCTTTTAAGTCAAAACTTCGACACTAGGTTGTCGTATCTTCAAAAATCTCGTCCATACCCATCTTTTAGCCAAACGAATCATTTTAATCAAACAAACAATTTTAACCAAAAAACAAATATTTCAAAAGGTTCCTGCGGAGTACCGCAGATGCATTGGGTGTTAATACCTTCCCATTGTATAACCAATCCCCGAACTCTCGATCTCTTTCAAAAATGCATTGTATTTTTATTACTTTTAAGTATTATTTTACATTGCATATTTTAGGGTTTTATTTCTCTCTTTTCCCTTTTCCCTTGGAAATAATAAAGCGCGGTGGCGACTCTTGCTTTTGTGAGTCAAGTTAATTAATAGCTTGATCTCCGATTTTCACCGCTACAAATGGATCTCAAGGTTATTGGATCAAAGGTTTCAAATTAAACATGCTTGGGCTTGCAAACATAGGTTTGGGCCACGAATGATCATTTCTCGAATCGGGAAAAAATTTAAGATTATGTTAAGCAATCGTAAGTGGACTTATATAGAAGGCGCACCTATTTTGTGGCTGATCAATAGCAATCTATGTACCATATTTTTAGAGAGATGATATGTAAATCATCCTCTAATAACATATAATACAAGTAAGAAAGGGATAATATGAATAGGGGGAATATTTGAATTAAAGATTTTAATCAAACTATCATTAAAATCATTCATCCATTTTGGTGGAGTTAAACTCAAAACCCAAGATCCTATGATGTTAATAAAGTTCATGATCAAAAATCACATGGTCAGAATATATTCAAAAAATAAATTGTAATTAATAAACCAAAATAAGTGATCTCAAATATTTTTATAAATTTTTTGATAATTTTTTTAAAACAGAAAAGTATTTTTTAACTAATTAAAAATCACTCAAATAAGTGAAAAAAGATAAAAAATAGTAAAAATCAAAATAAAATTCTAGAAAAAATTTTAGAAAGTCAGAAATAAAGAAAATGATCTTGATAAATTTTTTTTAGAATTTTAAAATGCCAAGAAGTATTTTTAAAACAATTAAAATAAGGAAAACAATACAAAAAATTAGGAAAAATATCAAACATTAAAATAAAAATATGAAAAAATATTCATGAAGTCAGAAATAATATAAAGTATTTTTAAGAATTTTTTTCAAATTTTGAGTCAGAAATGAATTTTTTATGAAAATTTGAAGTTTAAATCAATTAAAAAAAATAAAAATTAGAAAATAAAAATAATCCAAAAAGATGTGGACCATTGGATCAATGTCAAAGTGTGATAGTAATCAAATTCAATGGATCTAGCGCGCTGTGCATTTCATGGTCATTAGTGAATAAACCACTAGTGTAACTATTTAAAACAAATTTTAAAAAAATGCGTGACAAATTCTCATTGGTTGAAGACACCACCGTGGTTGTCTTCAACCTCTAGCCAACCTCAAAACCAGCTTCCTCAAACTGTAAAATTAGAGGTTCAGACTAATACCATTCTCTTCGTCTCATCAAGACGGAAACAAAATTGTACCCTCGCGAAAAATTTATATAAGCTGTAGCTCAGTTGATTTGAAGAAAACCAGAAGAAAGAAGTTGAATATGGATTTGAAAATTCATGATCAAAACTCAATTCTAGTTAAAAACAAATGTTGTGACTAGTATCAGAATGATGAGAGCTTCATTGTGGTAGAAAATTTTGAGAGAATTGATGAAGGAATCTACCTATTGAAGTTCAAATTCAGAGCTCTGAAACTTGACTTGTCTAGCACGATTTAGGATGCTTTAGGGCTCGTTTCTTCTTTTGTTAGCTTCAGTGAAGTTCAAGGATGAAGAATTGACAAAGAAAATGGATTGAGGAAGGCTGTAAAACCAAATTCGAAGTTGAAAAAATATGGGTTAAGGAAAGAGTTGGACAGAGTGATTATGGCTGTCTAAGCTTGAGAAAATGAGTGAGATATAACCCTATATTTATAGGGAAGGAAATGGGATGCTCAAGCATGTGAAATGATGATGTTTGGAGGGAAATCGTGTGAAGTTACAAGCATGAAAAGTGTGACTTCTATTTTGCTCAAAACTCAACCAAAACTTGCGTTTCAAGGTGTTAGTCACTTATGAAAGATTGTTAAACATGATTAGAAGTAAAAACATACAGAAATTTAGTGATTAGAAGCTGAATTGTGCATTTCAAATTCTGACTTGGAGGAAAAAGTTAGTTTCAAGGTACCAACTTTGAATCAATGGCATTCATAGGTAAATGAGTCTTATTTCATGATTCTTGAAGCAATTTGAAGATAAGGTCACAAATTTTACAATGTGCAAAGAGTTGGAACAAATGGATGCTTGATCTAAAAGTTGTGATGAGTCAAAGTTGAGAAAAAGATGCTGACTTTTTGTACTTAGAAAAATTCTAAGTTTTTCTTCAAAAGCGGCCTATAATGTTTTGAGTTCAAACAAGGTCTTCCTTCAAAATTGAGCTTTGATCATTGATGCTAGCTTGAAGTAGACTCCTTAAAGAGTATTGTGAAACTTGAATCACTAAAAAATAACAAACATTGAAAAAGTTGTGGCCTAGTGAAGTTGGTGAAAATTCATGAGATGACCTATAATCTTTTGCATTATTAGGGCATCCTCCATCCATTTTCAAGATTTTCACATAAAAGAGGAGTTTAAGTTCACGTCCTTAAGATCATCATGGAAAAATAATTGGCTCAAGGAGATAAAAATTGACCAAGTTATGATCTTTTGGAGTCACATAAGGGAATTTGATGGCCTATCTAGAGGACTTGTATTCTTTCTTCATCATTAGACATCTTCCACATAAAATCTTATTGAAACTTTTGAAGTGATTAGTTGATAATCCTTTAAAGAGAAGCATGTATTTGGAATTACTCAAAAATATCAAAATATGAGCAAGGTATAGCCCTTAGAAGTTCAAAACCCTAGCTCATAGAGCAACAAAGTGCCTTGGGAACCCCTTTCGATTTTGACAAACTTTCTTGAACAAATACTTTTGTCATGTGAATAGAAGTTGTTGTGGATGATAATAATAATCCATAGAAACAAAATCACCTCCAAATATTGATAATTGAGAGAGTTATGCACTTGTGATCAAGAAATCAAGAACTTGTCCAATTAGGTCAAACTTCTTCAATCAACTATTGCATCTATTGATTTTCTTTGACAAATTAAGGCATGATGAATCATAGTAGACCTTGTAATGATATCACTTCAAAGTATCATTAATGGTGAAGCTTGAATCTCAATGAAACTTTGTTAAAGAAGGCATGGAAATAAACTCATGAACCTATGAATTCACCTGATGAAATGTGTTGTGCCCCCACCTATAATATCATCAATATCATCAATTAGAGAAAATATTCATTGTATTTGTTAGTTAAAAGTTAACCAAGACAAAACAAATATGATCACAATATACAGATCAAGGTGCTTGGGTATTCCTCATGAGCAAACCTATAGATAAGGAGAAGAACCAAACCCTAATGTGGTCTTGTTGTGATTTATTTGATATGAGATGATAGAGGAATCTTAGGGGGGAAAATCGGGGTACAATAGCTGCCCTTATTTAAGTGTCTTCTATCCGGAGATACAAAGGTTAAAATCCTCGTGTCGACATGATTGAAGATATTTAAATAAAAAACAAACCCTATTTTTAGCCCTAAGAGGCCATGCAGTGCTTATGATTGTGCATGCAAATAAATAGATCCAAAGGTGACACGGGATACCACTGGGGAAACAGAAAATACAAGATCGAAAGAAAAATAGACCAGGAAAATAAATCACTAGTGAACAGAAGACTCGACTCTATTGGGGTAAA